CCTTATGTATCCGCTGAACCTTCCGAGAAGTATGCGCACCCATCCGGTGTCTTATGTGGGCTTGCTTTTGCCGTACGGGTATCCGGTGCAAGTGATCGCGGAAGCTATGGCGTCGGGGCGGCGTCCAAAGGCACTCGTCCACCCAGAACTAGAGCCAACATCTGGTTCTGAGCACAGAGTGCAACAACTTCCGCTTCCAACGGCGTGAGGCGCTCCACCGTAGCACGAAGTGACGTATTTGTCTGTTAGACGGCTAGGAGCCCCTCCGACAGCACGATAATCCTCAGCGTGAATCAGTCGGTGCACACAGCAGTAGGCAACATCGGATAGATGCTCGGCAGAGCGCCTATGACGACAGACTTTGTTCTTCAACGCCCGAAAAGCATCGCGAGTCACCGGACGGTGATCGACCAAGTCGTTATCGTCCGCCGCCGACTTTTCTCGATGAGACTGGTGGTGTGCACTGTCGCGTGGAACGCCTTGTGGGTCGGCATCATTGCCAGGATCAAACTCAATATCTTGTGAAGTGGCGGGGAACCCAAACTCCTTGAACTCGTGGGAGTTTGAGGTGCCACTTCGGCAAGACTGCCGAGACGTCGTATAGCTTACGATCAGAAGAATCCTGACACTTCGCACCGTCGTGCACACCGCGCTTCTGGGCAGAAGTTCGGGAAGCCAGGGGGCTGAAGCTATGGCCCTAAGCTGCTGTGGTCGTGAACTCACCCGTGTGAGAAACCACAGAGCTTGCAGGTGCGTTATGGACTAACAATTCGCAGGAAGTCGGCGTTGCGCCTTGAGTTTGGCAAACTCAATCTAAGATGGCGTTTAACACGAACTCCAACTTCCTTGTGGCATTGTTGTAAGGTAGACAGCGAAGAAAAATTTCGAAACCGCTTCACCCATCGCTCAAAGAGCTCATCGTCAGGCGAGCATCACATAGATGGTCTGCATTGCGGAAACAGAAGCACCTTTTTTGAGCTCGAAGTCGAGCGCGGTACCAATCCATCGGGATCTCTGGGGCACCAAAAAGCGAGCTCGCAAAGCTTTCAGCTGATCAAGCTCAGCTTGTGTATTGACCGGAGGCCCGACTTCGTAGTCGCCTAACGATCGAGCGATCGCATCTTACGCTTCAGCAGCAAAATCCGCCGAGCGGAAGCCGTATTCCAAACGAAGGTTTACCACCAAACGTGGATACGAGAGCAGGAGAGCCGCCCTGTGTGCAGTCTCCATTCGCTGCCCCTGTGCCGGGTCGAGGCGATTGGTTATAATACCACTTCCCCTGGAAGCCGAGAGGTCGTGGAACGGACATGGGTCCGCAGGATTTGAGTTGGGCCCACGTCGCGCCCTTGGCACACTTCATCTTCCTTGTTATTCCATGCTGGGAAAGAAGTGTCCGACTCGTAGTCGAATTCCTCCAACTCTTCGGCTAGAAAATCGATCATCCGGGGCGGGCGCGGTGTGATGTGCTCATTTGCCGAGGGCTTAAAATGTGCTTCTCGTATAGCCGCGGACGTACTGCTGGAGATGCACCCTGTACAGAAGAGGATGAAGGGCTTTGCCCGCGGGCGCCCTCGCTACCAGCGAGGTTGGCTGTTTTGCGTGTCGTAGACACAGAGCTCATAGAGCGGAGAAGATTTCAAGCTGTTCTTATGAACGTGAAGGTGTCTCAGACACGCGAGCCTCGATCTTTAATGTGAATTGAGGATATTCCCAGGGGAAGTGTAACTGGGTAACACGTGGTCTCATGAGAAAAGGCGGGTCGCACAAGATTGTGCGACTGTATATAGCTGTGTTTACACAGTTAGTGTAATCACACAGTGGTGTGGCTACACCGTAACGAGAAACCACCACACGGCAGGATTGCCAGTAGTAATGACTACTACTATATTTTAAGGTTTTACTCTATTTATTAGGAACACCTTTTGATATTGGCGGCTCTGCCGCAAGTAAAGCAATTGGATACAGTTTTGTATTAAATAGAAGTTCTCGTTTGCTCTGGAAAGGCTTTAGTATATAGACGTAGCGGGTTGCGATCTGCTACACTTGTACCGGTTCTTAGAAAGAACGTAAGTTCGGTGGCCTTAGCGTAGCTTTTTCTAAGAAAAACGCTACGACAGCCTCGCTGCATTTGATGTAAGGTGTTAGCTGGGCTGGCATTATGTGATGGCGGATTCACTTTTCGTGTCGCTCCGGCTATGAGATGCCACACGTTATGAAGATGAATTCGTCAATTGATCAAAAAACATGTACAGCGCTTGGGCCATACGCAACGTATTTTAAAAGGTTGAACGCTAAAATATTCAGGCGCCAGGTTGCACGTCACCGCAATGCTTCCCAGAACTTGCCGTATTACAGTACTGATAACATGATACCTAGCATGTTTTCAGACCTCATGATGACATCTCATGCACAGATTGATGCACACATGATACCTTTTAAGTACATATCGATGAGTGTTAAGTGATACGTATTACATGTGGGCAAACACATATATGCGCATATGTAGAACGAGTGAGAAGGTTGAATACTAGCCGTTTGCAACAACATCTTTGGTTAGCTTGGCAAATCCGGACAGTAACTGGCAGTCCATAGGTATGAATAATGTTTTTAGTCTTCCAAAAGACGGGTCCGGTGATCCGGTATTGTGTTCTTTGTGAACCATCTGAGCAAGGTGGCACATCTCGAAATCATATGACCAGAGATCTCATAGGGAATGTGATTCAACATGACTTACCGGTAATTACAGTGACGAATAGAGATCCACGTTCTACAACAGATTTTGTTCAAGGTGCTTGGCACCAGATTTGATATGTTAATCACTGACCGTTCGCAGACGGATAATCCAATGGAACCCGTGAATCTCTTTGTAATGACAACTGCGTGGAGAGGCCATGGTGCTAGGGCAAGTTCTCCCGACTTATTGAGTTTGCGCTTAACGAGGAATGTCCTTTCAAGCTTGGTAGCCCCGCATGAAGTGGCTTCGGTCTTTGTGAAGGGAGGGCTGTCTTTCAAAATTGACTTGCCGGCAACATTCGTTCCGGCAACACAAGATTTTGATAGTTCGCATCAAATTTAGTAATATTATGACAATGAGATTAAGCATCGTGAACAGGGTGCGCGAAACGATTGCTGGAAACCAAGACAAACAAACGATGAGCGCCAATGTCAGAGAAAGCTTTTTTTGATACATTGAGCTTACCTATGCATTGTCTGCGGTCAATGAAAATAAATTGCGACCGGATCGTTCACGGTCGCACAAAAAAAGGATTGATTTGCTATCCAAATATATCGAGGCTTATGCAAACACGCCTGGTGTTCTAGGTCGGCACACTGAAGCACTTTGACCCCGCTCCGACAGTTAAGTCTGACATAAAGAGCTCTGTTGCAGGCGACGCAAATGCTTCACCATCCCTTCGCCAAGCTACTCTATGCTCTTAATCAGCGACACAATTCTGTGCTTACTTAAACCAGACCATGCGTTAGTGAATCTCAGAGAGAAAGTCAAAGATCTGGAGCTCTATCACATGCCGTAAATTATATAGAGAATTCGCTTGCCGTCGCAGCTAACAAGAGTTAGTCAATATTGGAGCGATTATATTGACGTGGAACGTCTCAGACCGGCGTTTATACTACGATATTCTGGTTCACTTCGGCAAGATTGCCACAGCGTTGCGCCCCAACGGACCTGTAGCACCTCGGCCTTTACCTCCCAGGAAAAAGAAGTGGTTTCGCTCTCCACAGCGTGTTTTTAATTGGTGGAAGGTAACCAACTTTGGGGTGATTGAGACCCTTGGTCAGTAGCTATTACAATTGCCTTGTGACGACGAGCGGGGATGTAAACAGCAGGGTTTAAATTAAACGTGGACATCTGTGTACTTGCGTAGCGACGCAAAATATGCTCTAATCGGACTTCCGCTTTGCTGAAGGTCTTTCGTAAAGTCTATGGACGATTGGAGTGGCGTGATACCCTAGCGTATTGTCCAAAGTTGGATTGAGTCTGATCGGCACGTTTTACACTTTATAATACCCAGGATGCATCCCTCATGAAGTGTTTGGGTCTTCCCATCAGCTGATTCTTCAAGTCTGGACCTTTTTATTCAGATAATGGCTTTCTGTAAACTCTCGCAGAGCGATTTCTCACACTTAGCGTGTGACGGATTTGAAAAAGCGACTTTCAACAGATATTACGGCGTGATTATCGGGACAAGCGTCGAAGTGACTTTTGCGCTTGCAGTTGAGCAATCTTGGACTTCATCATCCAGATCCATCTTTTTAATGAAAGCGAGCTAGACATCGTTGCGAGTCCCACAGAGTTGAGACTTTCCGTCGATGAAAAAGGGCACAGATGTTGAGAGGGGAGAATGAGCTCAATGAGTGCTATCTTCTTGCAAACGGGTAGGCCGTGTATCGCCGGATGAGAGCGGGGGTGTTTGAGGTCAGGACCGAAGTGTCACTCCAACGTTCTCATCGAAATACAACTCGGCATCCTCCCCGTTATTCTTTTGAGTGCGTCGGTCGCAACGATTGTCTTTATGTGCGAACTCATTTAGCTTCTTGATTCGGTGCATGAAGGCGAATGTCAGGTAAAAGTATGCTCTTGATGGCAAGCGCGGTAAATGAAGACCATGAGTGGAACTCTAGGAGCAGCGAGTATCCGTGGAGCGGTCCCTTTTGCACAGCGTCTGAAGACGACAAAATGGGCTCATTCTCATTCTGGTCCCCATTCTTGTGGAAGAAGGTGGAAGGTGGAAGAGCTTTATTCTTATATCTCTTACACATTTGGTTCAACTGTATTAAGGTATCGCTGTACAAGTCCAACGATTGAATGCGCAGATCAAGGGCAGGCGTAAGCTCGGAAGCACTCACCGGTCTTAATCTTTTCAGAATTTATTCTGAGCGGGAATTATATACATTGTTTTGCAATTATGCTCTTCATATAGAAAATATTACTTAATTTTGTAAAATAAAAATATTTAGTATTACTTTCAATTCCATATATATCAAGTAGGTAATTCTTCTGTCACCTGATTAATAATTTGAATTTTTAGAGCACCAGACTTAGCGGCATGAGCTAGTGCTGCTTCGGCTCGCTCCAACGGGTAAACTCCGTGAATATACTTTTGCACATCAACTTTTCTCTCTTTAAGTAAATGCAATGCCCATGGAATGGGGCCACATCGGGAGCCAATTACTCGAACTCGGTTGTTTAACATTGCTCGGACGTCTAACGTTGACCGTTTGATCGAACATGTCGATTTCATCACCACAGTGCCACCTCCACGTACAATATTAAGAGCCAATGCAACACCTCCAGGAGATCCAGTGCATTCAATACAAACATCAATTGGTGCTATCTCGTTGTGTAAACGATTCGCTACTATCGTCATTTCAGAAGTATCATCACTTTTTAATGTGTAAGCCGTATATACCAGTTTTTTCGCAAGTGCCAACGTCTCGCGGTGCTTTCCCACAAGAATTACGATATTTGCAGCTTTATAGGCATGTAAAACGTCTACTACCAGGAGACCTAATTTGCCGTCTCCAAGAACAACAACGTTATCAGTTGGTTTAATAATTTGTTGTTCTAGAATCCGGCATGCAGCAGCAAGAGGCTCAGCAAAGACAGCATGGGAATCCACGACTCCGTCAGGAACCTTATACAGATTCGCAACGGGAAGAGTGATGTACTCAGCAAAAGCACCATTTTTCTGAATAATGCCAAGACAGGATCTATTCGGACAGTGATTGCGACGTAAAATTTCTTCACGATTTAATTTATCACTCCTTGGCTTGTTCTCGAGTTTGCAAGTCATACAATTTAAAGTGTCACACGGAACATTAATCTCACCTACGACGCGCTTCCCGATCCAAAATTGCTGCATTTTCTCGTCCTTCATATAATTCACGCCAAGTTTCCGTACAATTCCTACAAATTCGTGTCCAAGAACACCCTGAAACCCTGTCTTGTAATTGTTAACCATTTGTAAATCTGTACCACAAATACCTGCTCGTAAAACTTCGATTAAAGCTTCTCGAGGTTCTGGCTTTGGTGTTATGAGGTCCGTTTTTAGCTGTGCATTCGACCCGTTGCCTTGCAAATACACTCCTTTCATATAATGCAACTTCCTTGTGACATCAGCACTTGTCAAAACAGCGTCAACTTTTGACTCCAATTGGTGATACATTTGCAGTTTCTGTGGTTGTATAATAACTTGTGGCATCTTAAACTTTGGATTCAATAACGACAAATACACTTGAAAGAACTCGCTCTTTAAAGCTTTCATTGGTATCACATCCGAATTAAGCCAACTCACGAAAGCATCATGATGCTTCTGAGTACAATCATTCACACTTTTCTTCATCTTGTTACTCTTCGCATCCAGAATTACTGAGCCAGGAGATGTTCTCACTGGTACCACCACCTGTTCAGTGTCTACGCTGCTTTTCGTGACCTGATTCTTAATTTTTGCCGATGACAACGCATCAACTTTGACAGAACAACCAACACGAAACACGTGTCGATGGTGGCGAAGTAAATGTCTCTTGAGAGTGTAAGCACGATTGCCCATGCTAACTTGGCACAACGTACAAACTACATGAGTCTTGTCTATCGATTTTGTTGGTCCCCGACTCGCACCAGCTGCTTCTTCTGGTAGAAAAACAAAAAAGTCTTTTGGACTCGCAAATGCTTGAGTAGTCAGGAACACTGCTGGTATGTTCAAAGATGATGCTGTCTTGTCAACCTCTTGCGTCGTCTCTACCTCATCCTCGATCTGTTCAGGTGTGATGGTGACGTCGTTCACAGTCTTCGAAGCCACTCGTTCACTGTCATGGCTTATTACGGGTGTCAATGGTGAGCTAATAAGGTTTGCAATGCTCATTTGCTTGCTAGGCATTGTGCCTTTATCGTCCATAATTCTTTCTTCTATATCATCATAAAGAATACTGGGGCTTTTGCCCTTCGCAATCTTTCGTTTCTTTTCCACCGTCGTAATGGAACCATCACAGAGCGACACGCCATCATTGTCCACCTCATCAGTAGAACGGGAGCTCTGACAACCTGCAGACCGTTTGCTACTGAAAGATGTTGCCATTAAAATGGAACTATGACTTCAATTTACTGCTTAAAGCGCTACCCTACGATACAGAATAAAATGAACCAGTTGAAAACTAATCATGGAGACAAAGGATGGTGCTGTACGTGTTCAAACGACACCACCATGTCATTTCCTCATATTAAACAATGTACAGAAGACTAAAAACATTCACAATATGCTTGTAAGTGCTTCAGCCTTTGGAGTTACGGAAGTTTTTATTGTGGGGCAAAAGAAATTTCATTTACAAGAACAAGAATCGTTCATTAACTCCCTGAGCTGCCGTGTCACGCGCGTGGCCACACTTAAAGACTGCAAAGCACTTTGTAAGGAACGAGGAATTCGTATTGTGGGTGTTGAAATCATGCAAAACGCCAAGAGTATTGGCGATCAACCTTTTAGTGGTGATACTGCTTTCATTATGGGCAACGAGGTACGATTGCAGAAATAAAGTAGAAAGCATTGTTTCTCGTCAATCTAATCGATTGTTTCGGACGCTGCTATCAGGGCAGTGGTATGAACTCGGCACAAGTAGCTATTTGCGACGACTTTGTCTACATTCCACAATACGGAGGTGGCACAGCTTCTCTTAATGTGACAGTCGCGGCATCCATCGTGCTCCAAAGTTTTGCGCTGTGGGCTAAGCTGCCGATGACGAATACCAACTGTCATATGGAGAATTCAGTGATAGTGTAAGGTAGTTAATCTACGCGTGCTCTGCCAGCGGCTTTAAAATAAATTACTGGTTAAGTTACCCAGATATGTGAAGATATTACATGTATTAAAAGTATATCAGCTTTCTTTCTTGCTCAACCCATGGACTTTTTCCCCCTTCACATGTCCTTGTCCATAAATTCTTCATAGCTCTGACCAAACAAACGTTGTACGTCACGTTCAATATCACTCTTCGATAGTTTCCATCCC